CTGGCGGACAACATGGCTCGGGTTTTAGCGGGACAAGCCTGACATTTCTCGCAGCTTGCAAGGGGCACGGAGAGCTGTCTGCATGACCAGCTGACAAGCGCGAGCAGCGAGTTATTGCACCCTGTGTAATCGAATGCGTAATCGCATTCTTGCCAATGTGGCCCCCAAACAGAGAGTTATGCACCCTGAATGCGTAACGTCTGTGGTGCTGTCTACGAAGTACATTAAATTTCTGTTCGCAGTGAGTTGTCCACTCCACTGCTCGCGCAAACATCCCACCCACCCGCAACTTGATTTGCAAAATCTCTTAAAACCGTGGCGGCGGGTACCAAATGGCACTTCGCAACACCAGCGACGCCGACGACGACAGCGACAACGACGACGCCGCCGACAACGACTACGACGACACCGACGGTGTCTCCAACGACTTCGACGACGCCGACAACGACGACGACGACGACACCGACGACGACGACGTCGCCGACGCCAACGACGACGACGACGACGATGACAACGACGACGATGACGATGACGACGCCGACGACGACGACAACGACGACACCGACGACGACGACGTCGACGACGCCGACGACGACGACGACGACGACGGCAGCGACGACGACGGCGCCGACGTCGACGACGACGACGACGATGACAACAACGACGATGACGACGCCGACGACGACGACAACGACGACACCGACGACGACGACGCCGACGTCGACGACGCCGACGACGACGACGACGACGACGACGACGGCGCGACGACGACGGCGCCGACGTCGACGATGACGAAGACGACGACGGCCGACGCCGACGACGACGACGAAGACGACGATGACGTCGCCAACGAGGACGACGACGACGACGATGACAACGACGACAACGATGACGACTCGACGACGCCGACGACGACGACGACGACGACGGCAGCGACGACGACGGCGCGACGTCGACGACGACGACGACGATGACAACAACGACGATGACGACGCCGACGACGACGACAACGACGACACCGACGACGACGACGCCGACGTCGACGACGCCGACGACGACGACGACGACGACGACGACGGCGGCGACGACGACGGCGCCGACGTCGACGATGACGAAGACGACGACGACGCCGACGCCGACGACGACGACGAAGACGACGATGACGTCGCCAACGAGGACGACGACCAGGGAGGAGGGAGGACGACGACGGCGACAACGACGACAACGACGACAACGACGAGGGAGGAGGGAGAACGGCCACGACGCGAACGACGAAGGAGGAAGGACGGCGACGCCGACGACGACAACAATGAGGGAGAAGGGAAGACGACGATGACGGCAACGACGACGATGACGACGACGACGGCGACGAAATAGGAGGGACGACGACGAGACGCCGACGACGGACGACGACGACGACGACGACGAGAGAGGAGGAGGAAGGACGGCCAGGGCGACAACGACGACGGAAACGACCACGACGCCAAAGAGGAGGACGACGACGAACACGAGGAAAGACAGAGGACGGCGTAGGCGACGACGACGACGCGGGAGGAGGGAGGACGGCGACGACGATGACGACGACGACGACGACGCAAGAGCGCGCGCGCACGCTTGTGTTGAAAACCCGTATTGCGAGATCTTGTGTTTTTGTAGTTTGTTGGACACGATTTTGAAATCCTTCCGAAACCGATGGGTTTTGAAGGTTTTCGGCATACGCGCGCGACAACGCGCGCGTCTGCACTTCGTCCCATTTTTTGCAAAGGATTCTCGCGACGGCACACGCGCAAGGGCGTTCGACAGATTTCGACATGCGCGCGCGCGAAGCCCGTTTGGTAGCATTTTGGGACAATCTGTAAAATCCTATGGTTTTCTTAAGACTTCGCAAGATCTCGCGCGTAAGCTTTTTTAGCAAATCCGTGTTACGAAACGCCGTGTTTTGTAGGTTTTTTTTTGGAGCTCGATTGCGAAATCCTTCCGACACCGAAGGTTTTTGAAGAATTTCGGCATGCGCGCGACGACGCGCGCGTGTGCACTTCGTCTAATTTTTTGGAAGGGATTTGCGAAAACGTCTTATGTTAGAACAAACGGTGTCCCCGCGTATTGTTTTGGGAACCTCAGGGTGGCCGATACCGGCCCCCCTGGGATAGTGTAAATTCGCATTTCGGATGGACATATGGTCATAATCAGATATGATGTACATACCCGAAAGGGGTGGGATAACGCCAGGGGGTGGGGGGTAGAGTCTATTCTCTTTCCAGAAAGGAGAATTAAATTAATATTGAAGAACCTGGAGTTGTCAACCCCACTGCTCGCGCAATCATCCCACCCACCCACCCGCAACGTGGTTTGCAAAACCCACGCGGCGGCGATTGTGACGACTGCCTGGTGCTGGCTGGCGCATCTCTTCGGCGGCGCAAGCTCGCGCGCAGAGCGGCCATCTAGTTTGACACAACCGACGCGGCGGCGATGGCGCTGACCGGTGGGGATTCCCCAGCGCGTCGCTCAGGCCGCGCTGGCGCCGGGGCGCTTCAGCTCGAGTATGTGCCTCGTGCGGGCGCAGTATCATGGTGAGGTCGACAACGGTGGACACGATTATGATGATGCTGATGATGATGTAGATGCTGATGAGGCTGATGTTGATGATGATGAGGCTGCTACTGGTGATGTTGCTGGCGATGCTGATAATGTTGATGCTGATGCAGATGATGGTGATGATGCTGGTGATGATGCTACTAATGGTGATGTTGTGGATGCTGATGAGGAGGGTGAGGCTAATGAGGATGATGGTACTGATGAGCTCGATGATGGGGATGCAGATGAGGATGCTGATGGCGAAGTTGTTGATGTTGATAAGACTGCTGCTGACGATGATGAAAATGATCATGGTGACGAGCATTCTGATGATGGCGATGATGCTAATAATGGTTCTGATGATGACGGTGCTAGTAACGATGGTCACGATGACGACGGCAATGCACGGCGCCGATGCTGGTCACGCCGATGACGATGATGGTGTCCACGCGTCGTTGATGAAAGTGTTGGAAGGATTCTGGCATGCGCGCGTGACCGACGCGCGCCTCAGTGACCCGCATGGTATTAGTTGACAGAGGTCGTGCCCCCTTCAGCAAACGCGCAAGGGCGTGCGCAAGGTTGTTCGGATGATGTCGACCTGCGCGCGCGAGAGGGCCGTTTAGTCCAGTTTGTTGGGTCGCTTGAAAACCGCTGTTTCTGTGTTGAAGATTTCGCAAGAGCGCGCGCTCAGAGAACAGTTTCGCAACAATTGTTTCAACATTTTTCGGGGACCTCGTTCTCGAAGCCCCTGCGAGACGCAATTTTGTTTGTGGAACAAAGATATGTCTTCGACCATACACATACTATTTGTTTCTTATGTCGAAAAAGTCTCGACATGTGCACGGGCGGCGACTCTCGTATGGTATAGTTGTCGAGTATTCTGAGATGGGCGAGTGAATATGAAACGTTTGTTTCCCAAATGTGTGTGCGTTGTTTTATTAGACCAGGATCAAGGGGAGCAATGCGAGGATTCCCTGGGATGGTACGAGTTCACATGCACAGGTGCGGGGGTAGAGTCGATAGTCGTGTGAGAATGGATTAATTTTTAGTTGTAAGCTGTGCTGTGCAATCTGCGTCGTACACGCTATTTAGTGTTCAGTATGTCGTGCAAACGGTGTGGTGCTGGTGCAAGCTGTGGTGCGACCTGTCTGGTGCACGCTGTGTGGTGCAGTCCATATCGGCAAGCTATTCGGTACAAGCTAGTTCGTGCAATCCACAGCGGGCTCCGCGTGGACGCCCACGGGCGCCCGCCAGGCGAAATTTCGGTGGTCCAAGCCAGCGCACGGGGCGCCCACAACGCGCCCAGTGGCGCCCACCAGGCGAAAGCTCGGCGGCGCCAGCCAATGCATGCGGCGCCCACGCACCCGCGGGCGCCCACCAGGCGAAACCTTGGCAGACACAGCCAGCGCACAGGGCGCCCACGAGGCGCCAACGACCGCCCACCAAGCGAAACCCCGCCGGACCCAGAGGCAAGGTCATCGCAAGCATGCAGGCGAAAAAGGAGTGGAGATTTGATTATGCTTGGCGTTGCGTCCACAGCGGGAAAGCCGTGGCGTCTTTTCGAAGTCTATCTGCTTTGCCGAATCGAGTTTTCTGGTCAGCGGGAGGCCTTGAGAAGGTGCAATCCAGAGTCGTTGCTGCCCGTGCGCCCCCCGCGCATTGGGTGGCGGCGTCAGGCTCGTTCAGTGCAAGACATCGGCCAGTCTCCGAGTCCTCGCTCCCCGGGCTGGATTCTTAGCGCCAGCCTCTGGCAGCCGCCCGATGCCAGTGCTGCTGCTGGCCGCCGCTGCAGCTCCTGCTGCCGCACCGGAGCCTTCTGCTCGCGCAGGCCCCAGGGCACGGCCTGGCACCACGAGGCCGTCCTCCCAGCCTGGAGTTCTCTCTGGGTGACGGCCGCCAGAGTGTCGCCTGAGGGAGGAGGAGGAGGAGGAGGAGGAGGAGGAGGAGGAGGAGGAGGAGGAGGAGGAGGAGGAGGAGGAGGAGGAGGAGCATCGAAGTTACCCCGTCTACCCGCGACCAGCAGCGTCTGCTCGGCGTGCCGCGGCGCCGGTTTTGGCCCGCCGCGCTCCGGGCCGCGATGCGCGAGGCGCGTCCCAGTCCCCCGGGCGTCCGCGCCCCGAGCCTTTCGGTGCCTCCCGCCCCGCGAAGCTGAGCGCCACGCCATCAGCTCGCAGGGCACGGCGTGTCGCGGGGGGCCGCCGCCGCGACACGCTGCGCAAGAGATCCCCCGCGTCTCGGGGGCGCCTCGGGCACCGTGCGGCTCGAACGTGAGTGCAGTTCTGCAGTGCTGGCTGGCTTCCCGAGGTTCATTCTGGGAAGGTGCTCGTCAGCGACCGACGCCAAGGGTTGAGCGCGGCTCAATCTGCACCATTGGGCTCAGCCCTACATCAGGGGAGGCCTGCGGCCCTCCTGCAAGCACTGCCCAGGTGCTCTATGGGGCGTACGAGACCACCAGGGACCCGAAGTACGCCAGGAGACCGCTGCTCTGCTTGGTGCGGGCCTTCCCTCCCTCTCTCTCTCTCGCGTCAGCACAGCTCTCGCTTCTAGTCCTCATGCTCGCTCATGCGAGTCTCGAACCCCCACTCACGCACGCTGTCCGTTTCCCCTGTCCTCGTTTTCTCCCCCTCGTCTTCCTCTCGCCATCTCTGGGCTCGACCTGCCTCCCAAGCCACGAGCCAATCGGTGCACACGCTCGCCATGGGAGGCTGGCTTGCACTGCATTGCCGACTGGCTTGGCAGCGATAGTTCTTAGTCGGCGGCGAGCCCGGGAGGGAAGCGCGAGGGGGCAGGCCTTCTCAGACGGCGAAGCCTTCCAGCCTTCTGAGAAGCCGCCTCCGTCTTCGGACACGGCTCAAGAGGCTCGGCGGAAGGCCAGAGGGCCTCCGAGACGCTCCGCCGCCTTCTGAGAAGGCCCGCCCCCTCGCACTCCTCGCACCCCCCCGGGGGCTCGCCGCCGAAGCACGGGGGGAGGAGGGAGGGGGGCAGGCGGGACGGGGGAGGCCCCGCACGCGGCAGCGAGGGCGAGCCGTGCCGCCTCTCCTCGCCCGAGCACGGGCGGGCCCCGCGGGCGCGGCGGAGGGCGAGGGGCAAGCCACCCCCGGCGGGCACTCCCCAACTCGGGAGGAGGGCGCCAGGGACGAAATGCGCATTGTTGTTGTTGCTGTTGCTGTTGCTGTTGCTGTTGCTGTTGCTGTTGTTGTTGTTGTTGTTGTTGTTGTTGTTGTTGTTGTTGTTGTTGTTGTTGTTGTTGTTGTTGTTGTTGTTGTTGTTGTTGTTGTTGTTGTTTTGAAACCGATCTCGCTCCTCTGTGATGCCAGGCTGGGCGCAGCACCTTTTTCTCGAAGCCGAGAAGCGCCCAAGTCGGCGCCGATCCCCGGGCGCAGGCCGCCCGGCACAGCTGAAACCTGGGGCCCCAGGCTTGGGCCCACAGTGGTTGCGGGAGCACGGGAGAGGGGCAGAGGGAGAGCAAAGAGGAAAGGGATAGGCGGGTTGAGGCGAGCCTGGAAATCTTCACACGCCCTCAAAAGGAGACGCCGAAAACCGCCTGGCACCTCAAACTGCGATGTCCCGCATCTCATTAGCTCTCACGAGTTTGTCCTGCTGCCTCTTCTCCGTCTTCCTCGAGTCGATGGCGGTCTTGCGGCTGGCCCGCTGCATACTCTTCTTCATCTTGATCGCCGCCGCCGCCGGGTCCTGCACTAGACTCCACTTGGCCTCCCGCAGCACCTTATAGAGGTAGACCTTGTCTACTCCCAGCTTCGTCAACACATCTGCTATGTTCTGCGAACCATCAATCCACCTGAGGTGGGTGTTCTCGCAGCGTAGTACCTCTCTGAGCAAGGCACCCTCGATAGCCATCCTCTTGTCCTTGCTCTTGGCCGAGCCCTCCTTCGTGAGGTGGTCGTAGACAGACTTGGCGTCCGTTGCCCAAAAGCGAGGAAGCCGCTGCACCTCCCCCTGCCAGTTGAGCAAGTCCACTGAGACATTCATAGCCTCTCTGAACAGCACTGCCGCCCAGTCGACGGCCTCCACCGCATCGGCCAGGTGACTGGCCTCTGCCGCCAAGGTTGAGCGGCACACACGCTGGGTCATGCCACTCTTCCAGTCCAGCACTGCCACTGGTGCTTGGTGTCCGGCCAAGATGCCGTCGGTCGTGAGGAGCACCACGTGGCCTCCACAGCTCTTGTAGCGCTCGATGTCGTCGTGCTCCGGGCCGTTCGCGTGGCCCGCGTCCACGGCCGCGCCGATCACGGCGCTGGACAGCCTCAGGCTGGCCGGGTAGACCAACGCGACCTCGGCACCCTTCTTGGCCTCAGACACCGCCAGGTTCGCCTTCACCAGGTCCGCCACGCACGGGGCCGCTCGGGCCCTCTGCAGCTCGCCTGAGAGGAAGGCCAGGTCGAGTCGGCACTGTCGACCTAGCCAGCCGATCTCACCAGATACCCTCAGCAGCTCCTTCGCCTCGTTCTCGTTCAGGTCCTCCTGCAACTGCTTCCTTCGTCCTGCTGGGATCTTGATCGGCTTGATAGAAGTCGCGTAGTTCACCATCTTGACCAGAAAACCTCTCGGATCGCTTGCAATCTCACGGCCACGGAAGGTGAAGGGCAGCTCGCTCCACTTCCACTGGAACGTACTCAGGACCTTCGGCAAGAGGTCCGACAGCTGCATGTCCTTCATCCTCGCCACCAGCACGTCGTCGACGTGCGAGACCGCGATGCCCTTCAGCTGCCCGTCCATGCGCCTGTAGAAGAGCGCCGGCTCTAGGCGCGACTGAAGCCAGCCGTCGGACAGCAGAGCGTCACGCAGCGCTAGCCAGAAGAGCCTTGCTGCCTCAGCAAAGCCGTAGATGGCCTTGCGGGCCCTCAGCAACTGGCCCGCGGCAAGGCCAGGCAGACCTCCTCGAGGCTGCTCCAGGTAGACCTCGCGTTGCAGGTTCTGCCCATTGAAGTAGGCGTTCTTGACGTCGCCCAGGGAGAGGGTCATGCCCATGGCCGCCGCTAGCGTCAGGAGCAGCGCCTCCGCCAGCCGTGAGGCAGTGGGAGCGTCCCGCCTGAACATACCCAGCAGGCGGTCGCGAAAGCCCACCACGACCAGGCGGCTCTTCGCGAGCAGCGGCAGAGGGGCCCCGGCCTCATCATACTTCCCGTCGTTCTTGTCGGTATCCACCCAGCGCATCGGGATGATGATGTTGGCCTTGTCCGCGCGGATCGAGTCACTCTCATCCGGCGGGATCGGCTCAGCTGCATCAAAGTCCTGCCAGGATCGCCACTCTGCATCACGGCTGCCACCTCGATCCATGAACATCCGGCGTTGCTCCTCAGGCAAGCTGCCGAGCTTGATCTCCTTCCTACCAGGCTTCTTCGTCAGAAAAGCGTGCTCGAAATCATTCCGCATCAGCCCGAAGATGAACTCCTCCTTGCCGATGCCCTCCTGGACAAAGAAGGCCTCATCCTGCTGGTAAATCTCGAAGCCGGCCTCCATGAACTCCTCCAGGTCGTTGTCCAGCACGAACTTCGCCGAGTCGGCAGGCGCCGGGAGGCTGGATCCTGCAGTCCCCTGTCGGATCGAGACAGGGACGTCGTCCAGCAGGCGCCGTCGCTTGGCCTCCCGCTCGCGGCGCTCCTCAGTCTCCTCTTCCTCCAGGAGACTCCCAGGACGCCGATGCCGGGAGGCCTCCGGCTCGGGCTCCGTCTGCACCCCGTGAGAGTCAGGGTGCCAGTCATCGTCGCCGTCATCTCTCATGATGTCCTGCATCGCTGCGTCGAACTCCATCGCGTCGAAGTCCAGGTCGGGCGGCACGGGCACGTCCTCAGCCCCCACAGCTGGGGCTGGCGCCGCGGGCGGCTCGGGCGCGGCTGGAGCCGCGCGGGGAGCCTCCGCTTCAGGCGGGGCCGGAGGCGCCTCCGGCTCGGGCGGAGCCGAGGCGGGCTGCGGCTCCTCCGGCACCTCCGCCCGCGGCCCGACGTCCATGCCGCTCTCGTCGCCCTGCTCGGCGGGCTCCTGCCCCGCTGCGGCGGGGGGCTTGGGCCGGCCTCGCAGGTCCACGAAGCCGCTGCCGCCGCTGACGGGCGCGTCGTGCACCAGCTCCTGCTCCTGCGCAATCGATCTCCAGGCATGGATCTCGTGGCCGGTCGCTGCAGCCAGGTGCTCCGGGCTCGCGAGCACGGTCAGGCCACGAAAAGCGAGCCACACTCCATGCCGTCCCTCATGTCCGATCACGCGCGCCAGCCCTCGCCAGTTGTCTGGATGCTCGGGTCGATGCTTGACTGGCTGCGCTTGGTCGTAGAAAAGTACCCACTGGCCAACAACGAACGGCCCTCTCGTAGGTCGTATCTGTCGAAGCTCTGCTCGTCGGAGTCGGTCCTCCGTGTCGGTCTGGATGAAAGCCATCCTGCACTGAGTCCTGATCTCCACCTTGCGGGCAAAGCGTGAGCCCGGCGTAGCAGCTGCCACCTGCTCGCCCACACGCTCCACCTCGGCGTCATCTGCGAGGCTCGCCGGGAGTCGGACATCCCGGCCAAGGACCCAGAGGTAGGGGCTGAAACCAGCCCGCCGGGCCAGAGTGTTCTTGGCCCTGTTGCACTCCGTCACTGCCGTCCTCATCTCCTCAAGGCCCGCCACCTGCTTGTCGTGCACCACTCTCGTGAGCATCGAGTTCCAGATGCCGTCGTGGCGCTCCATCTTGCCGATGTGCCACGGCGAGGCCAGCGCGGCCGAGTCCAGGCGCACGCCCTCCTGCTCCAGGTAGTCCGCGAACTCGCCCAGGAAGGACCGTGCGCGGTCCACCATGATCGCCTCCTCCGGCTGGCCAGCCCAGGAGACCCAGCAGAGCTCGTAGAACTTCCTGACCTCCGAGGCCTTGGGGTTCTTGTGAGTGTCTTCCAGCAGGCAAACCACGTGAAAGTTTGTCCCCATACACATGATGCCAAGGAACTCCCAGTTGTTGCCGGCGCTGTCGACATTCTCGAAGCAGTCCATCGCGAGCAGCACGTTAAACTCGTCGACCCTCGGAAGCTGACTCGGACGTGGGATGCTGGGTCGCTGCACTCGCCGGCAGCTCTCGCAAACAAACAACCTTGCTGCCTTCAGCGCCACCGCCGTCGCCTTGCCCAGGCGCAGCGCCCTGAGCAGCGCCGGCCGTGAGGGGTGCCCGAGGTTCACGTGCACCCGCTCGATCGCCCTCTTGACGGCCCTCGGCAACAGCTCCCAACGTCGCTTCCTTTCCCGTGAGGCGTCCCGCTGCTGTGCTGCAGCCGGCCCCTCGGGCAGGTCGCCCCGCTCGTAGCCCGCGAAGTAGAAGACCACCACGTCGTTCTCGAGTAGGTGTCGTGGCAACCAGCGCCGTCGTGCTTGCAGTGATTGTTGCGACCAGTCCTCGAAGTCCAGCCTGAAAAGCTGGTCGCCCTTGAGTGTCGTGACCATCCTGAGCGGGGCGTCCGCGGCGTGCAGCTGTGGCTGCGCCGTCTGGAGCCG